CTCCGTTGCACAGAGTTGTCCACCAAAATCAAATTCACGTGAATGGGCCCGCCAAACTCTCTTTGATTCTCAGCCATATCCGCCATCATCATGAATGCGAGAGCGTGAAGACAACAACAATATAAGATTCAGTCTAACACATTTCTCATGAAGAATTATTTTTATTTCATCTTTAGCTTAACCTATCAATGCCCATTGCAAAATCCGTAATTAATTGTAAGAATGAAAATAAAATAAAAAATCTGCGATTAATTATTATTATTGAATTATATTATAATGTAGACGTTCCTGCTGAGTACAAAACCACAGTGTCCCCATGCCAGGCGTTGCTGCTGTGGTTTCTGTATCAAGTAGTTTTTTATGGCATGGAGTTGCAAGAGTTGTCCTTCTCCTAGAGTGGTTGCCACACAAGGCTAGAGATCCCAGTCTGTCCTAGCCGGAGGGAAGAGATAGTTTCATATCTTTCCAAGTGTATTTGTACAAAAGCAAATGCAGCGGCCTTGTCTGTAATTGAAACTCGGCACGCCAATCCGAATTTCATTGGCGATAATCCTTACGCTGCACGTTCATCCGGTATTAATTATAGATTTATAAAAGAAACGTTCGGTATTATTAATATGTTTCTACCTATTAATGGATTAATGGATTAACAAAGCATTTAAAATCTAGTCAATTAAAGCTGAAAGCTTTATGATGGCAATCTTGCACGTTTCGAAATCAGAAAGTTGATAATACATTACCGAAAATCTCGTTTCTTATATATATATATATATATATATATATATATATATATATATATATATAGTTACAGGGAAAAATAGATCAAACGATACAGACACACTGTTTCACTGAATCACAGCTCATCAGTGTCGTTAGACATTCGAATTTTGTTACTTTTCACTTCCAAAATTCTATCAAGCATTATTTCATTATCATAGCACTCAAGAAACCTTTTCTTTTACTCGCATTTTCCGGACGTTAATAATATTACGTAAATGACTTTGAGGTTTCATTCAAACTATTACTCCAACCTCCATATTTAAAGCTTTTTATAAAACAGCAATCAAATATTGATTAACAGGACCTGGAAGTGTCATTCTTGATGAAATTTAATGCAAAACCGACTCTGAAATTTAAAAAGTTTTACATATATATATATATATATATATATATGTGTGTGTGGGTGTGTGTGTGTGTGTGTATATATATATATATATATATATATATATATATATATATATATATATATATATATATATATATATATATATATTGTATAGATATCATATCTATATAATACGAAAACTTTAATCTTGTATGTATGTATCTGTGTTCTCAAGATACAATTTAAACGATACATAATACTCAGACCAATTTAGGAGCATATTTTACCCTCAACATCTACCGCATACAGTGCCAAATTTCATTAAAATTAGACAGGGAGGTGTTCTTGAGCTAGGGCCTTTTTTCTGTTTTTATGGCTTTTTTTTAATAGGAAATTCAGTATTTTTCAGTACACATTCTTATATCAATCCGCTGATATAAACAAACACTTGCATATTATATTCCAACTACTATGCGTGTGAAAACTAATAAACATAATATAACAAAATTAAGTAAATTTAAATATGCATAACACAACATACACTACAGTGGAACTTTTTTTATAAACAACTACTTGAAAGTTGAAGAGGCACATGACTTGATGGTAGATAAATAGAAACACGCTGAGTTACATATTTTGAAATAAATGTGTGGAAGAAATAAGTATGTATGATAAAAAAATATACATATTATTTTGAAAAAGACTAATTTGTCTTAAGTTATTACTTCACATTTTTATTCAATGTGTTCAACTATGAATAATCACAATAAACCTTCTTTTATGATCATTAACATTAATTGTTAATTTTATATTCAAAGTGCATTTTATGGAAGAAATTTCTCTTTTAATGAAAACGAGTAAAACATACATCTATTGATGTCGTAAGATAATTTATTTTCATAATTTAAAACAGGATATAGTTGCATTTTTGTGTTTTTCATGCGTTTTTCGAGTCTCAAAAAATGTTACTTATTTTTAACTAATAATTAATAAAAAAAACATACTTATTATTTTGAAAAAAGACTACACCTGTTTTAAGCTATTACTATAAATCTTTACGCAATTTGGTAATTATGAACACCATTGGGACAATAAAACTTCTTTTCCAGTTTTTAAATACTAATTAAAATGTGTTATTAATAATGAAATTAATATTTTTACCTCATCATTTTGTATCATGAACTGCATTTAAAAGAAACCCAATGGGTTTATGGGTGGTCTCGTTATCTCGAAAAATGTAAAAAAAATTTTTTTTTAAGCAGTTAAATACAAACTTGCTTGCCACTTTGAAAAACTGAAATTAAGCAGAATTTCCGTTTCAAAGTTTTTTAAGTTAACTCAAAGAAATATTTTTCGTTTTATGGCATAAAATTTATATTTTTTATTCATTGGTCTAAATGCAAAGTGTAAACATTTTCTTTTCAATGCTACAAACTGTAATATGTTCAAAATATGTTAAATGCACCGAAAAGAAAATCATGTGCAAATAATGTATGAGTTAAAATTCAAAGAAAAGATAATTCTTTAAAAAAAAACAGTGTGTGTATATATATATATATATATATATATATATATATATATATATATATATATATATATATATGTGTATGTACGTGTATGTACATATACACATACATATTATGCACACACACACATACACACATATATATGGGTGGGTGTATTTCTGAGTAGTTCACACGTGCACACACATATATCTATAATATGCGTGTATCGGTCGCCTAATTATTGTACGTTTCAGCGTGCATGAAACTGGTAGTTGTGGCCGGCCAAAATAAACACCAGTTATAAAGTTAATAATAATTCAGCTCTGCCGCTTGACATAGAGTAGTTATTTATTTATTCTTAATCATTTCACCTCAAGCAAGGCGATAATACTACTAAGATGCAAAGGATTAGTGAGAGGGAAAGAAAATGAGACGACGTTAGTGAGATGAAAGGGCAATACAAGAACAGGATACAGGATTACAGAAGATGGCGATTGACATTGTATTTAAATTTTTGAAGATCGCAGGTAGCAGGTAAGAAAAAACCGGGAAAGAGATTAGAATAGTACTTACGGTTACATTTAGCCATTTTGAACAGTAAAACAATGAGACCTAATTACTAATCTAGCAGTACGCTTAAATTCATGTGATCAAGGTACCAAAGAGAAAAGTTCATTAGTAAGAATTACCATGAAAATATTTTTAGAAAAGACACTGGAGAGACACGACGGTGGGAAATTAACTGAAATCGAGATGCCAGGTCAGGACCGATAACATTACAAAACCTTCTTTTGATTTTGTCGAGGGATCTCGATATATATAGCAGAAGCACCATACCAAATGTGGTAGAAATATTCAAGGAACGAGTAAATGGTAGATTTATAATCGTTCAAAGATGGATTCTGGCGAGAACCAAATTTCCCCTGAAGCAAACCTAGCAACTGATTCAATATAATCAATCCACTTTATGTCACTGGAAAACGTGAGAACGAGAAGTCACAGTAGGTTGCTCTCCTACAGGTTAGCAACATGCTTCCCTATGATGACTAAAATATAATTGTTTCGATTTGGAGGCGTTCAAATTTGCAAGATATTTTTTGCTCCAGTTACCAACTGATTGGAAGTTATTTTCGAAATCAGCTGCCGGCTTTGCTTTATTGGATCTATCGATAGGAGTAAATAGTTGTGTCATCGGCATAAATACCTATTTCGGATCTGATGGCATCGAGAAGGTCAATGTCGTAATTTTGATCTCATCCTCGTCGCCAAAATGTTGTAATCTAAGGAAGGTTACTGAATAGAATAATCACACGAAAGTTGGTAATGAACGATAATACTTAGGACACGAATAACACATCGGCGGCGCGTAGAAGAAGTAATCAACTGCTAGAAGGGAATCAATTGAATTCCACAATGAATCTCCAACTGCAGGATATCTATCAACCGCACCACGCGTATAAAACAGGGTCGAGTAGCTGTTTCACGAAACGGGACTCTGCTCTTCAACATAGCCTCGTCTTGGGATCCTCTCTGCCCGGAGGCAGAGAGTTTGACCAGCATAGTTGTAGACGAATCTCCAAATTCAGGATATCTAACAACCACCCGATGCGGTCAGATCTGGCACAAGGCCGAATTTAATGTAAAGTATCCGAGTCCATATAAAATTGGGTCGGGTAGCTGTTTCCCGAGACTAGACTCTGCCCTTCGACATAGCCTCGTCTGGGAATCCTCTCTGCCCAGAAGCAGAGAGTTTGACCAGAACAGCTGGACACGAATCTCCAACTGCAGACCAACATACAGTATTTACTACTGTATTTAGTGAATGTGAACATACCCATTATCGTCCGTAGGTATGTTACAACAGTCGATGACGAAGATAAGAAACAATATAGGTCTAAAGATAGAGCCCTAGGATACCCCCGAATTAATGTGAAATGATCTAGAATAATGGCCGTTTAACATGACTTTCATTACACGATTTATTACGAAAGATTAGATCAGAGCAAATATTCGTTCATACTTGTGTTTGAGTGTTTTAAAGGGTATACATTTAACTGTTATGAAATAAAACCAGAGATTTAAAAAAAATACTCACATATATGAACTTACTTTATTTCAATGTTTCTATTCAACTATTTGTGAAGCTTATTTAATGTGAAATCTGTGCCTGATGTTTGTTTTTTTCCACCATTTCGCGGGGCATTTCCCGCGGCACGGCGATTGAGAATCATTGAATTAACTTATATCAGGGGAGGGGAAGAAGATGATTCCTATCTTTCCCAGTAGTATTTGCTCGTAAGTGAATATAACAAAACCAACGGGAACTGGAACTCGGATCTCCGATTAACAATTTCGAGCCATTATCGATTACCCCGTCCGCACATCTAAACTTACAGCACTGGGTATTCCCAAGCTATCACCCATCTAGGTACTGACCAGGCTCGACGTTGCTTAACTTCGGCGATCGCACGGAAAATGGTTTGGCAACGTGATCTGACCGTAAGCCGATGTTGATGATGATGGTGGTGGTGGTGGTGATGATGATGATGATGATGATGATGATGATGATGATGATTGGTTGGCGTTACCGAGTGGAAGAAATACGCCACCTATCGCTAGAACTGAGATCTAAATTACTTTTTCTCTATGTGCCGTGTCCCTTCAGGACGTTGGCGATCATGGCTGTACACAATTCACTGCCCTTTGTAGCTCTTAATAACTGTTGTCTATTTGCCATCCCCCATACCCTGCTCCGCCATTTATTTACTCAAATCTGCCCTGTGAGTATCAAATTTTCAAGCCTCCTTCTTCATTATATGTCCCAGAAATTTCAACTGTCTCTTCCTGATATTAAGTATAAGTGTCCTTTTTGTTTCTCTTGTCTCTAGAGCTTCGTCGTTGGCTACATGGTCGACCTATGTCGAAACAGAAGACTAAATTTCTCTTTCTCGCCCCAACTTATGACAAAGCTGTTGAGCTGTATCATTTGTCCATGATCCTTGCTGTCATTATTTTTCAAAATAAATTACTAAACTTCCTTTTCATTTTTCTTTTTTTCGCAACATTAGCTTCAAAACTTTTCGATAAGTCTTATATGCGTTAAAAAAATTTTGCATGTTTCAATCCTGAAAATAAGTACAAGCGAAAAGAAAAAAAAATTGTGTATTTAAAATTAAGACAAAAAAAAATATCGGATAAAATGTTCATCTCACGAGAGGATCAAATAAAAAATATCTTTAAAACCGTTATCTCCACCTCCTATCCGTATTAAATACCCCTTAACGTAACCCTCTCCCTCAAGTGACCCCAAGGTCTTGTACAGTGTGAACCTTACTGTATAAAAAAAAAATAATATCTAATTTAGCCAACCAGTTTTTATTTTATATCGCCCTGCTTGCTTGTCGAAATTACAAATCACCATTCATTTTAACGATCTATATATCCATACTCTTACGGCTGTCTCGTGTCTAGAAGAAAGAAAATCAATTTCCTTTGTCCGTCATAATGCACCCTATAAATTTTACCCATAACCCTACCACGACTGACGCCAATTTAGCCCGAGCATCTCATCAAGTTGGGATTAAAAAATCGCAGATATCAATCAGGGTCTCTTTCGTATTATCTAGGTCGTTCTTTAAACCTCTTAGGTTGTGAACTCAAGTCACACCGTCCTTGGATTTTGATTTACCAATATTACCCTTAATATCGTAGACTCTATTGACAATCACCGCCCTTTCAGTCGGCAAGTGTAATCAATCTATGCTAAAAAATAAAATAAAAAATAGCGAAATATAGTGGAAATACAGACATCAGATTAGTGCTTCTTATCGTCGGACAAGAATTTTATATGCGTCTGAAAAGATCTTTCAACTTTATTTTCATCTGCTTTCTGTCTTGCAATAATAAAACCCAAATAGTGACACAGAAGATTATATTAAGGAGATTACTTCTCACTTTCAACGACCTTTTCTTCTTCTTTATAATTCGATATCTAAGGACGACAGAATATTAACCAATATGGCGTCAAGTATGCCTTGTTCTGTACACAGCGTAAGTGACTAGCTACACGTATTACATGTATCTGCAACTATATTCAGAATGTTTATCAAGTTGCTGGTTTTAAAAACACGTGAACATCAAGCCTAAAATATTTACAAAAATTATAAAGCATTGGCAAACTATGTGATCGTTTAAAAAATGACACGGTTGTTAAATATTCGATTACCTAATATGAAACAATAAAATAAGAATGCTGATTGGGAAAAAATTATAAAATTGATATACATTTTATAGTGCTTGACAAGGATACAGACTTTGAAGAGATAGATTTTAAGTTGAAAATGTAAGCCAAAGACTTACCTTTACTATGTAATACGCAATGTCATTATGACAGTGACAAATACGTGTTCTTAAAATTAACATACATATATATATATATATATATATATATATATATATATATATATATATATATATATATAACCTTAGAATTTTCCTCTAATTCTCTTTCTGTTAATCTCTTACGTCCTTGTTACCTTTTTTTAATTTTAAATTTAAATTGATTCTTTCCTATTTCTAATGCCCTCCATTTTCCATCATAGGGTTAATATTTTTTATACACGTTCTCCCCTTTAAGGTAGATAATAACCACCCGCCTTGATCCCTGTCTGGTGTCCATCGTCTGATTTAAACAATGAAAAGTTGGAACACTATATTAGTTATATTTGGCAAGTTAAATTTTAGGTTGACCCTTTAGTTTCTAATATCACCTCCTTACAGTTAACTCCGACTCCCCTCCATAGACATGAACTTCATTCTACATCGGGGTTGAAAAGAGAGACGACCACTGTCATCGTCTGCCGAAATAGTCTATTCCCCACACAAGGTAAAAATATTTTTTTGATTATTCATTCATATTGCTCTATATAAATAAAATACATTGAACTCTCTTTTGTAGATCAGTTTTAATATTTTTATATTACTAGGATGCCCTCAGATTATTTACCCACAGTTTTATTTTTACCTTATATATATATATATATATATATATATATATATATATATATATATATATATATATATATATATATATACAGCCATGGACAAAATTATGGAGAAGGTGCATAAAAGTTAGAAATATAATTGAAACTCTTATTTTATCATTTACAGAAAAAGAACAAAGCTTTTAAAGTAAATTTAACCTATATTTTATACTTGGTGTGGGCTCTTTTTGCTTTTTTAACTGCCTTTGTGCGCTTTTTCATATTGGAAACCAGCTTAGCACAAGTAGTCGGCTCGATTTTCTGCCATTCTTCATGAAGTTTGTCTTCTGATTCGCGTTTGAAGAATATTTGTGCAGCCTCACTCTTGTACCTAAGCATGACTACAGATGTTCAATGAGATTCAGATCAGGGGATTGAGGAGGCCACTTTATTACCCTCATTTCTTTTTTTTCAAAACCAACCCTTCGAAACTATGGATGTGTGGCATGGTGCGTTGTCTTGTTGGAAGATTACTCTATCTGGTATGTTATTGAAAATGTTCTCTACTGAACGTTGGTAACATTGGTCTAACATGCTTGCGTAAGTAGTGGAATTCATTCTACCCTCACATGTGAATAACATTCATATCCTGCAAAACGACATGCAGCCCCAAACCATTACGCTTCCACCTTCAAAGTTTACAGTTGGGGCAATACATTGAGCATTATATACTTCCTCACTTCTTCGATAAACTTAAACAACACAAAGGGTTCCGAAAATCTGATAAAAATAAAAATAATTTTCTATTCTATAAAAATACAATATTAATAGGCGTAATAAAATCAATTATGCTCAATAAATTAGTTTCAACTAATAAAGGAACTTACTTCAAAGTTGCTTTCATCAGACCAGAAAGCTTTGGCCCAATTCTCAGCCGTCTAATTGTCATGCTCTTTTGTAAAAGAGAGTCTCTTCTTCTTATTAACCTCTCAGACAGCAATGGGTTTTTTTTTTCTAGTTTTACATCCTTTGAGGCCAGCTTCTACTAACCTTCTCACTGTGCGTGTCGATATCACTTTGTTGCCTCGCGAAATTCAGCAGTCACGTTAGAAAAGTTTTTTCCTATCATCTACCGATACCCTCTTTAGCAGTCTTCTCTTGATTTTTTACACCTTTTTCGGCCTAGACCATCGTAATTTTTGAAAGAATTGGTTTCATTATATCTTTTAATGGTTGTTTGTACACCATTTCTTGAGCATTTCGCTTAATTGCAGTTTCTTTCTTTGAACAATGCGATGTCAGCCCTTTTAGTTTCAGGAATGTCTTTCTTCTGAGACATTTTCAACAAAGAAGAAGCACTTATAAATTGATACTAAACTTGTTATTAAAAATTAGAGAAGATTTAGCACTACAGATTAAATTTTAGCAATACAGATTAATTTTCAAATAAATGATTTTGCCACGTATTTAATAAGTAAAAATGAACGCAAATTATTATTATTACTCATAAATACCAGTGAAACATCAATTCAAGAATGCTTATTATGGTGTTTTCAGCTAATATATGCACAAGTTTCAATCATATTTCTAACTTTTCTACACATACCCCATAATTTTGTCCATGGGTGTATAAAGTTTAAGCCTTTGTCTGTTTGTTATCGAACTCGTCCTAGGATTTTGGAGACAGACCACCATAACCATATATATTCTGCAACTACATCACCCAGGGTACTTGGATAAGTATATTTCATTTTTGATCAAATGAGTTCCCCGGGGGCACAAACCCCCACTGATTTTTTTCCTTTTGATTTAAATTAAATTTTAATTTGAACAAGGGAATGACTCCTATCCAAAATATAGAAGGAGAAAACCAGAAGATGGAGGTCACATCAGAAAGATCATTGAGTAATACTGAAATGCATCATTTTTCTCCACAAATTATAACAATGGTTTCAAATCACTCATCATTTTCTTACAAAAAATGTGTGACAAGCAGTAAGGCGCGGGTAATTCGGCTAGTATATATATATATATATATATATATATATATATATATATATATATATATATATATATATGGGAGGTGCATATATGTAATAAAGATTGTTTTTACTCAAAAAAAAAAACAGTATATCAATAGGAATAGATAGGTTTGCCTATGGTCCGGTTCACATCCCTCACCGGTCAATTGAACAAGAGTATAGACTTATTCCTTGTTTCCTGTTTCGAATTGGGTTTTCAGTTCCTTATAAAGTCTTTTCCTTCTCTTTTACTTCCAGTAGTCCCTTGCGTCTTAGTGGCGTTATTGCCTTGTTTGGTGGGTGTTGGGATGAATTGATTAAAAAATAAAGAGCAGAGTATATCTGGAAAATTTCTGGGAGATTTTTAGGCAGGCAATCTTTGTAATTATAGTGCTCGATATCAAGAGATAAAGCATTAATATTAATAAATAAAATTAAATGATCACCCATTTTATCCCTATTCTGTGTTTCAAGAAGATTACCTCCACTCGTCAGGGGAACTGACTGTATGAGTATATCATCTCGATGAAACTCAGAGTAGAAAACAAAATAAGTGAGCATTTAATTTTATTTATTTCTAATACACACACACACAGAGACACATAGATAGATAGATAGATAGATAGATAGATAGATAGATAGATAGATAGATAGATAGATAGATAGATAGATAGATAGAAGTATGTATTAGGAATGGATTTTTGACAAGATTTCTCTAATATTCAAGCCGGTAGATGTAGTTGGATAAAAAAATAGTTCAATTAGAAAACAGTGCTCCTACTCGAATATGAGTTTCCATAAAAAATAACGTTTAAACAAAATAAATTTAAACTAAGATAAATATGTCAAGTTTAATCCATTTCCCAAAAAATAAATTGTCTTTGTTTACATTAGGATACAAAGCAGAGCAGATATGAATATAACGAGAACTGACAGAGAATGTGTGTTCAAAAGGACTATTCGGGTCTTGTTGCACCGGAAGTCCGACGTTACTAAGCTGTTAGGCGCATTAGATTTAATGACGGTTCCTTATAGGGGATGCGGGTTCGAATCCTGCCGGAGGACGCATGTTTTTCTGACAAGATTTCTCGAATATACAAGCTGGTAAATGTAGTTAGATAAAAAAAAATACTGCTTAATTAAAAAATAGAGCTTCTACTCGAATATGATTATTCATCAAAAATAACGTTTAAGCAAAATAAATTAAAAATAATATATATGTCTGTATTTCAGTGAATAATATAGACATATTGTGTCTACTTACTTTTATATTGATCCTTTCCAGTTGTCTAATCAGTTTATTGATGTTGAGATGAAATTCATCAAGGAAAAAGCTGTAGGTTCTTTAACCCAAGTACTTTCGACCTTTTCTAACATCATCTTCATGGGCAAATTACAAAGACAAACATGCTGTTGCTACTGCGATCAAATCTGCATTCCCTTGTGATAGTGATTTTTAAAAACACGCGCGACCGAGTTCTGTTATTTTAGAATTTTTAAATTTATCCGTTCTAGTTATGGAAATTTTTACAAAACAAATGTTTCAATATACAGGAAATGACAGGGAATTGGTAAAAATATAAAATGACATTAGTATAAATAAATTAGTAATAAAATTCTATAGCTACAACGGATAAATTTAAAATTTCTTAAATAACTACAAACAGAGCGCATTCGTGCATGTTATTAAAAATCACAATGCAATGCAGATTTTATCGCAGTTACAATATGTTCAACTTTATAATTTACCCCTGAAGAGAAAAGGAAACTACGGTGCCTTCCTTGATGAATTTCGTCTTAACATCAAGAAACTGATTAGACAAATGGAAAGGATCAATATAATAAAATGACAAAGTGGAACAATTCTGTGAAAAGGGGTTAGTTATAATTATATACCAAAAGAAAAATCTGAAGATGTGAAAAATTTTGACTTTTAACTTTTTATATAAAAACCAAACTTCAGGTCACAGAAATATGATTCGACAGAATATCATGGACTGACCATATGACTAAATATAATGAAATGTTAAGGAAAATGGAAACAAAAAGAATGCTTATACTTGGAAAGAGAGAGATGAAATGTCTAGTACACATCATGAGGAATGAAGGCTTTGATAATTAAACCCTCACAGGATATGCTGAAGGCAAGTGTGACAGAAGAAAGCAGCGAGTAACCTACATAACCAGCCTGTGTAAATGGATATCAGAATAGGGAGTTGGAGAGATAACGAAAATGGATTGATTCATTCGTTTTCTACGACTTATCAACACTTTGCAGGTTTTTTAAAGCCAGACAATATTTTTAGACTGTAAGAATTTTTTGCGATAATAATGATTTAGTGATACATGTTTTACTAATTAACTCATAACTGGAGAGGACAAGAGGTGGAACCAACCTTTTCCCAAATGTATTTGCGCGTAAGTGAATATAACGAACCCAAAGGGAATTGGAACTTGACTCACCGATTAACAATTATCCATTACACCATAGGCATATTCAAGCTTACACCATCGGCATATCCAAGCTTACAGCACCTGGTATTCCCAAGCAGTCACTCATCTAGGTACTAACCAGGCTCGACATTGCTTAACTTCATTGATTGTACGAGAACTAGTGTTTCGACGTGATGTGGCCGTTTGCCTAGTCATTTTTTTTAAATTGCGCTCTTACGTCAGTCGTCATGAATAATAATAATAATAATAATAATAATAATAATAATAATAATAATAATAAAGGATGGAATTAACCCGAAATGCAAGATGTCTTCTTTTTTGTCCTATTCAAATTGCCAGCATCGATATTCTTGCGTTTTGGGACGATTATTAAGCAAAAATTATTATAGTTTTGACCACCAATAACTAAAACCATGGTAGACAAAACCGTGGATAAAGAGGGCCACTGTATTTAATTTCATATCTGCAGTTAATAATTTTTAATTAATTCCTCGTATGACAACAACAATATTGTTTTTGGCTTTCTTTTCACAGTTTATTTGTATATTTATTTATTTTAACCAACTGAATTTGACGAGTATATGGGGAGTACATGACGTAATGGCCATCAGTTTTTGTGTTTTTTTTAATTCCATCTTGGTCTGGCCGAGAATGTTTCAGGACGCACTTGTATTCTGCTAAATTTTACTTCACCCTCTGGCAAAAAAAAATCGTATCAAATTTTATCAATTTCAACCAAAGCAAAAACAGTTGATGCGATGTTTATGGAACCCTGTTTTGTAACGTGGAAACGCCCGCTGGTTATCGTTATAGCGCGCAAAGATTTTACTTACCGGGCTTCAGTTACAGAAATTGACATTAATACTTTGATTAAAAACTGCAATTTAAATTCCTGATTTCAACTTGTGAGAATGAAGCAGAAAAAAAGTGTGGAATTTTAATTTTAATTTTTTGACATTCAATTAATTTCGTTTGTCCCCTGCCAAACTTTTTAACGTCACTAAATTTCAATGTTTAAAAAATTGCATTTTTTTAATTATTTCTCGATGAATAAGATCCAAATTGTTGACTTTTGTTTTTATCCAACGTAAAAACGAAAATCCTAACCCCAAACCTTTCCGAAATACTTTGCCCTATATCGCTAACATTCTCAAATTTTGACAGCATTAGCCACATCTTTGGACAAAGCTAAAAGCATCTGGAACCAACTAAAAAGATATACAAGACTGACGGTTCCTGAGAAAGGGATGAATTTATTTTGATTCTCCAAGATCAAACTGCTGTTAGTCCTTAAACGGTAGGAAAGATTGAATGAATATGCGCGCCTAACGGGGTAAAAAAACAAGAAAATTTATTTTTAAGAGCATTTTTTATGCTTATTTTCGCTTTACTTTGGCGGACTGGACATGATGTCAGCTTGCCCGATGATAAGTGGGCCCCTGATGGAGTGGACTCCCTATATCAAATAAAAAACAAATACAGGCAACCGTTTTAGTAATAACAAAAGGAATATGAATTTTATAATGTCATCTGCACGCTATCAGTTACTCAAGTCCAATGTGAGAGGACCTTTTCAAAGCTTGAGATCATAAAGACAAGGTCTGAGGAGAATTTGGCCTCATACAGACTGCTATCCTTTGGAAAGGAATTATTAGATGAATTGGATGCAGAAGCAATTTTTGGCAGATTCAAACAATCATCTAGTGAACACAAACGATTGCTTTTGATATAATGGACTGCATGCATTGGCTTTAGAAATATCTATTAATGTGTAAAATGTGCAGTAAACAATTTAAAAATATCAAGCAATTACTTAAATTTTTTTAAAAATGAATAAATAATTTAACTATAGCATTGTGTATTTACATTTGGTATACACATTTCGACCATAATAATTTATTTATTCTTTTTTTCCATATGCATTTTTTGAAAATTTTATCTATTCGTTATGAAAATTGTAATTGTGAATGGCCTAACTTCGTTTCCTGGTAACCAATATTTTTTTGTCCCAGTTCGTCACTGATTATATACAAAAGCTATAAAAGAGTTATTTTAACTCCTTTAGATTATAAAAAATTAAAGAAAAAATGTTAGGTTTTTAAATTTAATAATTTTAACATGATATGATATTTCTTCAAGCATTACAGACACAATGAAATTGTACATTCTTTACACCAAGTTTTCACCATTTTTATTTTCTCTTAGAGAAGTATACATGAAAATATAACATTGTTTCCCTTTAGGCTTCCTTACTTTAAAATTATGGGCGTTATCTTTATGATGAAAAATACACAAGACGTTTTCGAAATGACATAATTTCAACTTTTTTTAACGTCTGGCCAGCCAAAAAACAAATAATAGGAGTTAAAACGTATAAATTAATTTTTTTTTTTTTTTTTTTTTTTTAAATTAGTGGTAGATGACATTTATCCATAAAAGATTTTTCAAAGTAAATCGCCTTTTCAAACGATAACAAAGATTGGTTTGCTAATTTTAAACCCTCAAAAAAGTAGTGAGCGAGTAATATTCAAGAATTTTTTATGAATATCGTTTAGGTTGTGATTAAATTATTATAGCATGAGATGGACGTATGTGCTGTACATCTTCACGTGCAGCAAAATAAATCTTACATTATCTTGATAAAATCTCTCAGAGAACGAAATGCGTCGGCTAAGAACAGTTTTTCATTTTGTCTCTTTATTCACATATATATATATATATATATAGTTTATATTTAATGCACCCTCGACCATAACATTTAAACATAAAAGAAAAATTCCATAATGGATTACTATGCACGTTTTATTGAACGCTAAATTATAACTGTCAGCTATAGCAGTTAAACGCAAAAGAGAAATTCAGTAATGGATAGCTACACATCGTTCTTGCCTTGCCAATTACACCACTGATCTAAGAAAGAGATGAAAATTGGGTAATAAAAGCAATTCTCACTGTTTCAGTGTATTTCTTGCCTCGTTTAATTATAATATACGGGAAAATATTCGTGAATATGAAAGGATAATGATCAAAAAAAGCGGACTTAACGTTTGTAACTTATTCAATCAGACATGCCTGAAAGAGAATTTTCTGCCAAAACACACACACACACACACACACACATATATATATATATATATATATATATATATATATAAATATATATATATATATATATATATATATATATATATATATATATATATATATATATATATATATATTAGAAATAAAAGAAAATTTTATGAAGAGATAAACATAACAAATAACAGATTTAATTGTTTAATTGTATCACGCAAACCTTCAGCTACATTTCGAATACGCATTTACGGATCGCACATTTAGCTGGTTTGTACCACCTATTCGTCTTTGTCGTTCAGCATAAGTCGTGGGATTGGCAAATGCATAGCTCGGATGCGAGTGGTACAACGAAGTCAAATAATGTCTTGGTGGCATCATTTTGGTACAGTTCTGAAAAAAAGGACCAAAGCAAAACAATAAATGAATGGTCTATACTTTTTTGTGTGTGTGTGTGTGTGTGTGTGTGTGTTTTTCTTTTTTACAAAATCTCAATAAATCTCTCAAATATTATAATTCATAAACGTGTGTATCTGTATTATGTCTATTTATTTATTATTTATAACTTATTCTAGTTATCTATTCAGCTTCTTGATGTTAAATTGAAATTCATCAAAAAGGCGCCATAGTTTTTTCTTACCCAACTACTTTCGTTCTCCTCTGAGATCATCCTCAGGGAGTGCATTGCATAGTCAAACTTATTGTAAATGTGCTCGTTGATTATCACGTTGAAACACCGGTTTTTGTACGATCTCCGAAGTTAAACAACGTCGAAGCTGGTTAGTACCTAAATGTGTGACAGCTTGGGAATACCAGTTGCTGTAAGCATGAATGTGTGGATGGTGTAATAGATTTGGGAATTGGGAGTACATTGCTGCAATTGTATAGCCGCGCCTCCTGTATACCCGCACCCCCTGTCTAGAAATGTCTTCCTACGTACCCGCTTGCATGCATCATCCATTGATATACTAAGCTACTCCCCACCCCTCATCTTTTTTACAGTATGTCCTTCTAAAGTGTTTGATTGTTCTTAATAAAGGAATTCCATCGATAAAACCTTGTTGCCCGGGGTTAAATTGTTTTAATGTTTTAGATATTTAGTACATTTCTCATGACCATAATAACTTTCAAATAGTATAGCATTGTTCACGAATCTAATAATCAAACAAAAACAAGGATGAAGCGTAAGAGCTTGATTCAACTGCAAGTGCAAATGCATGAACGCTCCCCCCCCACACACACACCTTCTTCGCAGCCGGGGTTAATAAGAAGTTTATCGAGATTTTTCCCTTTTAATGCTTCAATAATCCTTCTCAAACAATCTTTGCATCAAAGCTTGTTCGAATGCCAATTTAGGATGGAATCATATGAAGAAACTATTGGCTAAATGGCAAAAGCCAATTTTGGACCTAGTTTGCCGCAGATGCCATCCACTTAACTGAAATAATCTAAACCAAATATTCACCCAAGACAACTTGTGTGTCATGTAATTTACATGGCAAACCTGGTAAGCATCGGATGAAAAAAGCAAAATTACCAACAATACATTTTACCTATAGTTGAAGGCTCACAATTGCATTCAAACTCAACCAACCAACAACCTTGACTAACCATCATTATCGATCGGTATTTACAACACTAAAAGCATTGAAACCTGGGACTTCATAATTCCTTTTTAGTGCCGTAACCGTCAATTAACTAGAATTAATACTTACTGGTAATTCAGATATTTGTTTTTCAATGGATCCGTATGTGTGCGTATCTAGAGGTGGAGCCAATGATGGGAATCCATAGCAAAGACCTTCTCTGCGAAAACCTCCGGCTCCGATCTTATCCGGTAAATCAGACCTCACCTGAAAAAAGAATAAACGTCACTTCTGAATTGATTTGGTCATAAAAATTTCAGTGATTGATAAAAACGCTTCTTGATAACATATTGTTTAATAACAGGCTGTTCGAAAAATAATTACGTTTTACCAGAAAGCATATAAATACGAATCGTAAGTTAAATTGATTTAAATATTAGGTTTTTATTTTGCAACAAGTATTTATAAACAAATGTAAAAATGGCGTTTATTTATCATTTTTTAAATTTAAGAATGCTCGTGAATATTCTTCTGGCTAACTGACGAATCTAGGTTTTAAAGTATATAATACATAGTATGAGATTAACTTCCCACTAAAATAATATAAATATTAATTACAATATCTAAAAAAATACTTTTGTTTATTAGACATAAAATTACGTCACTTAGTGTCCTTGTTGCAAAATAAAGTCCTTATTCGGATTCCAATTTAGGATGGAATCAGATGAAACTTATCTTAGCCGACGTTTTTATCAATAAATGCGTCGGCTAAAATAAGTTTTCCTTTTGTCTTTATTCATATATATATATATATATATATATATATATATATATATGTGTGTGTGTGTGTGTGTGTGTGTGTGTGTGTGTGTATATATATATATATATATATATATATATATATTGTTATGAACTTGTAGCATATAGGTGAAACACGGGTTTAAAAAAGAAAACATGGGATCTTTTCTCGGTCTTCACTCAGGAATGGAAGCGACACAAGGGAGTCAACGAAGAACAGACGCAAAACGATGGATTTTAAAATAAAACATTTATTTATAAATACATAAACAGGTAAAGAAAGGAAAAAGAAAATTAATTTAACAAAGGGGAAGAGGGCCATGAAAGAACAGAAGAGGCGAGCCAATATATACATATACATAAAAAGGATCAAGCCAAGAGAATCAACTTATCTGTCAGTCGAGTTGATATTTCCACACAAAATTCTGATTCGCCGAAGCGAGAGTTCTTATGGAAAAACCAATATTTTGGTCGGCCGGCATTTTTCCTGGGTTTCTTTTCTTTCGGAAATGTTCGGGGTCCACAGCATCTCGTACAGGCGTTTCGTTGGTCGATTCAGTTTCGTAGCAGTCCTTTCATCTCTAGTCGACAGACTTTGCTGTCTTTTTCATTTAAATGGGAAGTCCATTTGGAATCGGGACGATTCGCCCAGTGATGTTCATCTGCCACTGGTCAGACGGAAACTGAAAATCCTTTTTTAGATTTTTGCTGTCCCCAAAGACAGTCACGTGGGTTCTCTTCGTCCTTGACCGGGTACACAGGAGGATGGGGCGCATATCACGCAGCGTTTGCGTTACGGCCAAAAGTTCAACCGTTCTGATCACGTGAATCGCAGCAGGAGAGCCTGATGGTGCCTGGAATTCACTTATGGTCAACCGCCTAATAGCTGCGGGATTTTGGAACCAAGTCATTCACGCGTCGATTCACTTCAAAGTTCACAGGCCCGTGGCTTGTGGGTGGAAGAGTAGGTAAAGAGAGAAAGAATTTGTGAAGAGAAGAGGAGGGTATGGCTGATCATAGAACATATTCGCTTGCAAGTTGAAAGCATTGGATTTTATCTATTTTTAATTATTTATTTATTTTTTTTATATCTAACTAATTTTCGACTAGAATTTTGGATTTTTCTTTTGGGTGCTTTTTAGCCTTACGCCTATATGGTTCATGAAATCGTGGGTACGTCACAATATATATATATAAATATATATGTGTGTGTGTATATATATATATATATATATATATGGGATATCGATATATAAATTTTTATATAATTTTTTTTATATATCAAGAACAGTTTTTGAAAGAAAAAATGTATGACAAATTCGAAAAGTACTTATTTATTGACGTTGTTGTGACTACACATGCGCATGAACGAGAGTCGCTGGTTTTTTGGAAATATTTTTTGTTTTTGCAATCTAACCAAATTTTGGCAAGGTTACAATATATATATATATATATATATATATATATATATATATATATATATATATATATATATATATATTGTCAAATCGAAACTGTTCCTGAAATAAATTTAATTGAAAATAGATTTGATAATGCATTTCGCCATTCAAGGCTTCATCAGATCCCAAAATGAAAAAATGAAACGTGTGACTTTTAAAAAGTCATTAATATTTATTCTAGTTATTAATGAATTTTCCCAGCTTTTTTGTATCGAATTAAATGCAAATCCTCTTCTCATTATCAGAATGGCTCGAAAACAAGAAATTCTTTTACCCTTTTTCTGAAATGAATCCACAATAAATCTTTATACAAACTTTCAGAAAGGGTTGAAAGTTTTTTTCTGTTTCAGTTTTCTCTTGCTGACATGTTCAGACCATGATATTGTCAGCATCCTTCTGTAAAACCATATTTCTATCGCCTCAATTTTCTTCTTCATCAGTGCGTAGATGGTCTCGCTTTCTCTGTCATATAGGAGTACTGACATTGCATAACAGCTCAGTACTCTTTTCTTTGTTTCCAATGAAATGTTCCTATCGCTTAGAATTTGGAAGGTACCTTTCACTATCCCAATGCGCCTTCGGATTTTATCGTCGCATTTTCCGTCCTCTGTTAAAACACTTCCTAGATATTTAATTTTTTTACTTGTTTGATTTTGGTATCTCCAATGTGTAATCTGCATATTGGGGTGTTTCTTTTTCTAACAACCATGCATTCTGTCTTCCTGCAATTGATGTTTAGTCTTTTCTTCCTGTTTTCCTTCACTATCTTATGTAGCAATTCTTGTACTTTTCCTTTCTATGTCTGCTATCAACAATGTGTCATCTGCATATCTTGTGCTGTAAAGATTGTGGCCGCCAATAATGAATCCTCGTAGGATTTCTGATTCTCTCAGAATCGCCTCGCTGTATAGATTGAATAAGTCCGGTGAGAAAGCACATCTTTGTCTTAATCCCCTTTCTCTTTTGAATATTTGCTGAATTCATTTTATATCCGTATGCATGTGGTTTGCTCTCAGCATAGGTTCAGAATTATTCTAATATTCTTACCAAATATGTCAGTGTTACCTAGCAGTTTCCAACAGCTATTTTTGCATACGGCATCGAAATCGAGCTGTATATAAAAACACCCCCTCCCCATCCGCCAAAAAGAAATAACAGATATTGGTCGGACGATGTAATTGTTATCAGCCCGAAAAATTGAAATCGTTAGGCCAACTTCTAATTCCGGTGTTCACTTGGAAGAGGCATGAATCCATCTCTTCTCTCTCAGCTATGGGTTAAATAGTCAGACTGACTCGATTTTTTTAACCTTAATAGGGCAATCACTCTATGAGAAAGACCTTCTTTAATTAAATACATAGAATTTGAGGTGGAAAACTGCTTCACTATTTTTTCCAAGGACAGTTATGGCGATTTATAAGCAACACCGGACCTCAGTATCAACATCGGCAATCAAACAGTAGAAGTCGTAAATAAATTTCCCTACTTTAGCAGACAGCAGGATCATACTGCGTATGGGAAGCTCTCACATGTGGTCTTCAACAATCACGGCCTCTGGGTGCTTGACATCACACGTCTAGAGCGGTCCCAGCAAACGTAGCTCCGAAGAATCCTTCGCATTTGTTGTGAGGACCGCATCACCAACAACTAAGTTCTCTCTTGGACATTTCTCACCAGCCTCGAGTCTATCATCATTCAACATCGCCTCCGCTGGGTGGGTCACGTGTCCAGAATACACCCACTCGACTCCCATATATCATTCTGTTTGGAGAACCCGCCAGCAGCAAGAGGTTACGCGGAGGCACAAAACGACGCGTCAATGATCAGTTGATGACACAGGCCAACATCGACCCTGAGACCTGAGAAACCGTTCCTGCAAATCGGCCTTCCTGGCGTAGGGCCATCCGAGGGGAAACCGATACCAACCGTGAACATGAAGAAGATTGACGTACTGCCAGGATGGCCCGAATCGCCTAGCCACG